GTGAGCCAAGGTTGCCTGGTAACCAGCACATGGTACTAGGCACTGCAAGATGGTCAAGGACTCATGGTCTCGCACTCGAACTGAGATTGTTTGTTATCTGAAAACAGTGCGTCAAACATTAAAGAGACCTCTTATAGAAGGCCATGCTTTTTGCTTTGACTGGAAAAGCAGGTGTTGTTGGCTGTGGGAAGTCACATACCAACAAGTAGCTGGGAAAGTAGCTGACATGAGAAAATAGCTGCTGGACGCTTGCCAAATTAAACTTTATATAATAAATGACTGGCAGAGTTTTTGCTGATGCAGTCTGAAACCGTCTCTTGTCTTTGTGTCCTTTTTTCTTCTGGGACTGCAGCCAATTCTGTCTGTCTGCGTCTGATGTGTATGTTCTGTGTGTCATCCCCCGTCCTGTAATTGGGCCATGACACCAGGGAGATCCACACATTTCATATTTTTCCAAAATGAGGCCAGACTTTAGTACTGGTTTCTCATAATTATATTTCACAGTAAAATATTTAAGCACCATCCTAATATCAATCTTCAATAAAGTGTGTACTATGGGAGTGTGGTTATGAACACAGGCTCTGTGTCAGACATCATTTTCTTAGAGTTTTTATGTAGGATAAGTGAATCTAGGGAGCTAATTAGCAGGATGAAGATCATTAGCAATATTGTATACTGGAAATTTGTCAAGGGAGTAGATGTGAGGTGCTCTTACCACAAAAAGTAACTGTGAGGAAATGGATATGTTAATTTGACTGTAGTAATCATTTTACTATCTATATCAAAACATTGTTGGGCACCTTAAATGTATACAATAGAAAAGAATGAATAGAATGTCACTACTTTCTTCTTTCATCATATTTCTGGTTATTGAAGACCTACTTTAACAAGTGGCAATGTTAAGAAGTTTCTCAAATTACTGAACAACATTTCCTAGGAATTCACTCTAAATAAGCTTTTAGTTTCTAATGTAATATTTTACAAACTCACTTCTCAGAACCAAAAGCCCTTGGCATGAACTTTCTGTCTGAACAATTCTCAAGATGCTAATGAAAGGAGAGAACTGACTTTTTTTTCTCTTATAAACAAAGATAATGAACTGATCATGAATTTTCCATAATTTTGTAAGACATCATTAGAAGTTCTATCTTATTGAGGGCTATCATATTCCCTGTGTTTTACAAACATTGCTGCTAATCTACACAAAAACATTTTCTTTAAATTTATTCTGCTATGCAAGTAGATAGAGTGGCTAATTAAGGGTCTAAAGTAACTAATTTACTCCTACACATTCATTTCTTTTTTCCCTCCTGATTGCTCATTCTGTTCTTTTTTTTTTTTTTTAATTATTTTTTTTTATTTTGGCATATTATGGGGGTACAGATTTTAAGGTTTCAATAAATGCCCTTCCCCCCTCCCCCAAAAGTCTGAGTCTCCATCATGACCCAATCCCCCCAGATGGTGCACATCTCACTCACTATGTATGCTATATACCGCCCCCCCCCCTCCCCCCCCCTGCCCAATACCCTATACTGTAGCACCTATGTGTCCACTTAGGTGCTACTCGTTAATACCAGTTTTCTGGAGAATATATCTGGTTGTTGTTTTTTTCCATTCTTGGGATACTTCACTTAGTAGTATGGGTCCAGCTCTAACCAGGAAATATAAGGTGTGCTATATCACCATTGTTTCTTAGAGTGAATAGTACTCCATGGTATACATATACCACATTTTATTAATCCATTCTTTGATTGATGGGCACTTGGGCTGTTTCCACAGCCTTGCAATTTATGAATTGTGCGGTGCTATAAACATTCGAGTGCAGGTGTCTTTTTTGTAGAGTGTCACTGGATCATTTGGGTAGATGCCAGCAATGGGATTGCTGGATCAAATGGTAGATTCACTTGTATCGCTTTAAGGTATCTCATATTGCTTTCCACAGAGGTTGACACTAGTTTGCAGTCCCACCAGCAGTGTAGGAGTGTTCCTCTCTTCCGCAACCACGCCAGCATTTATGTGTTGGAATTTTTTGATAAGGCCATTCTCACTGGGGTTAAGTGATATCTCATTGTGGTTTTGATTTGCATTCCCTGATGATTAGAGATGTTGAGCATTTCTTCATATGTTTGTTGGCATTCTTCTGTCTTCTTTAGAAAAATTTCTGTCAATCGTTTCCTTTGCCCACTTTTTAATGGGGTTATTTGATTTTTCTTCCTAATTTTCGTGAGTTCTAAGTATATTCTTAGTTATCAGTCCCTATCGGGATGCATAGGATGCAAAAATTTTTCCCATTCTGTAGGTTGTCTGTTTACTTTCATGACTATTTCTTTGGGCTGTGGCAGAAGCTTTTCATTTGTAGTTTGATTCATGTCCCATTATTTATTTTGTTGCTGGCTGTGGGATTGCCTTTGGACTCTTCATAAATGCTTTGGGCCCAGGCCGATGTCTAAGGAGGAGTTTCCAACTTTTTCCGTCTAGCAGTGTCTATATAGTTCATAATCTAGTAAAGTCTGTTATCCAGCGTGGTTGGTTTTCGTGAGAGGGTGAAAGGTGTGGGGTCCTGTTTAGCTTCTACAGGTGGGCCATCCAGTTTTCCCAGGCAACCATTTTATTGGAAGAGGGATCTTTTCCCCAGATATGTTTTGTCTAGCTTGGCAAGATGAGCCGGCCAGCTATATGAGGAATGAGTTTTTATATCAGGGATTCTCACATATAGATGTCGCATGGTCAATATCCTGGTTTTTTGGTGCGCAATACCATATTGTTTATTATACAGGCTTTGGTAGTATAGGTTTAATATCTGGCATATATGCCTCCCACTTTTTTTGTTTTTGTTTGTGCTAGAATTTGCTTTGATATTCGGGGTTTCGTTTGGTTCCATACGAAGCGTAAAGTATTTTTTCTATATCTCTGGAAGAATGCTGATGGGATTTAATAGGTATCTGCATTGAATCTTGTAGAATCATTTGGGTAGATAGACATTTTGACGATATTGATTCTGGCGATCCACGGCTCATGGTTATGGAATTTCCATCTGTTTACATCTGCTGTATTTCCTCGCTCCCAGGATGTTTCATAGTTCTCCCTGTGGAGGCCCTTTTACGTCTTTGGGTTAATATATTCGCCATAAGGTACTTTATTTCTTTGCTTAGGGTAATGTGAAGGGAATGAGTTTGATTGGTTCTCCACTTAGATTGTTGTGGCTATATAATGCCTCCTGATTTACTGTGTATTAATTTTGTATCCTGAGACTTACTAAATTCATTGATCAGTTCCAGGAGTTTTTGGTTTAATCCTTGGGGTTTTCTAGATACAATATCATAATCATCCAAAAAGAGAGACGATTGCTTCTGCTGTAGCCTCAAATGTACAATTGTTATACATGACAGAAGGAAGCTAGAGTGTTGTAATTTGCCATTCAGTGCTAATGAATGCTCAAGCCTGGGAGAACATGATGAGTGCCTCAAGCCAGAGCCCTAACCCTAACAATCCTGCTGAATACTGTTCTACTATCCCTCCCTTGCAGCAAGCTCAGGCCTCAGGAGCCCTGAGCTCTCCACCTCCCACTGTGATGGTACCTGTGGGAGTTTTAAAGCACCCTGGAGCAGAAGTGGTTCAGCCCAGAGAGCAGAGGAGAGTGTGGTTTGCTGATGGTATATTGCCCAATGGAGAAGTTGCTGATGCAGCCAAATTAACAATGAATGGAACTCCCTCTGCAGGAACCCTGGCTGTGTCACATGACCCAGTCAAGCCAGTAACTACCAGTCCTGTATCAGCAGAGGTGGATATTTCTCTCTTCTCTGGGGGTATAACTCAGGTTGGAAGTCCTATTGGAAGTGCAATGAACCTTATTCCTGAAGATGGCCTTCCTCCCATTCTCATCTCCACTGGTGTAAAAGGAGACTATGCTGTGGAAGAGAAACCATCACAGATTTCAGTAATGCAGCAATTAGAGGATGGTGGCCCTGACCCACTTGTATTTGTTTTAAATGCAAATTTATTGTCAATGGTTAAAATTGTAAATTATGTGAACAGGAAGTGCTGGTGTTTCACAACCAAAGGAATGCATGCAGTGGGTCAGTCCGAGATAGTCATTCTTCTACAGTGTCTACCGGATGAAAAGTGTTTGCCAAAGGATATCTTTAATCACTTTGTGCAGCTTTATCGCGATGCTCTGGCAGGGAATGTTGTGGGCAATTTGGGACATTCCTTCTTCAGTCAAAGTTTTCTTGGCAGTAAAGAACATGGTGGATTCTTATATGTGACATCTACCTACCAGTCACTTCAAGACCTAGTACTCCCAACCCCACCTTACCTATTTGGGATTCTCATCCAGAAATGGGAAACTCCTTGGGCTAAGGTGTTTCCCATCCGACTAATGTTGAGACTTGGAGCTGAATATCGACTTTATCCGTGCCCACTGTTCAGTGTCAGATTTCGGAAGCCATTGTTTGGAGAGACGGGGCATACCATCATGAATCTTCTTGCAGACTTCAGAAATTACCAGTATACCTTGACAGTAGTGCAAGGTTTGGTGGTTGATATGGAAGTTCGGAAAACCAGCATCAAAATTCCCAGCAACAGATACAATGAGATGATGAAAGCCATGAACAAGTCCAATGAGCATGTCCTGGCAGGAGGTGCCTGCTTCAATGAAAAGGCAGACTCTCATCTGCTGGTGTTACAGAATGATGATGGAACTAGTCAGACCCCGCTATCAGTTATTCACAATCAGAGAAAAGTGAACTGGGCCAGTTTCTTGGTTCAGGCTGGCGCTGAAATCCTCCTTCAGGATACCTATGCAAGTCAGTATTGTAGGATAGATGGCGTTATGGTCGATCCTGCACGAGAACTGGTTCCTTGCGCAGCCGCTGCGAGGATGAGGACTTCCATCACCCGTGGGAAAGCGGATGCGAGGATCCCCAGGCACACATCACATCCAGTGGGTGATGAACGACAAGACCGTACCAAAGGTGTCAAGTCTCATAGATGGTGAAGACTCATCGGAGGTCTATAACAAAATTGACAGATATTCCATGATCAGAACTCATACAAGCAACATGGAAAGTCATCAGAGACAACGTCACATTTTTCCTAGCTAAACGATGACAGTCACAATTGCCCAGCTATCGTCTGCAGATCATAGCAGATTGACCAGAGCATGTGTGCCAAGGCTTTCCTTGCTCTCTTCCACCCCTGAAACTTCTGAAGAGCAGTGGAACATGACTAAACTGGAAGCTACGTCGTGACACCTTGACCTCAGATCAGGTTGGCTGTATCAAGCAGCGGAGCAACGGCCAGCCTTCCCTCGTCAAGTACATGAATGATAATGGACAAGCGCTTTGGCTGCGTATCCATGGAGGGCCTGCAGCCAGTGAGGGCCCATTGCACCGGAACAGCCATCTTTTATATTCCTGGAAAGACTTGCATATGACACGACGAAGAACATCATTTTCTTCTCGTTCCAGCACTGTTGCAAACAGCAGTCATGCCAAATTATTCCTTTAAAACTGGAAGATTAAGCTTTTGTTAACACTATTAATGGGAAGCGGGTGGAGTAGGGTGGGCACCAGGTTGGAGACAGGGTGGGAAAGGGAGGTTAGGACCGGCACGTTGCTTCATAATTCTAAATCTTCTATGCATTCACCAGAGAGATCTGGGCGCTTCTGGTTACTGCACACAGTTATCTAATCCTTCGCAAGCTAACTCTTCGTAACCTGGTTACGACAAGAATTCCTGCCTCTTCTCTTTTGTAAATTTACTTATATGTCATGCCCGTGCTCAGCAAATGCTCAATGGCTACACATCACCCAGGTCGGGTGGGAGGGCAGAGGGGAAATACACAATGAAGCATTACAAAAAAAAAAAAAAAGAACGACAGAAGAATGGCCACAAAACATATGACGAGACATCTCAACATCTCTATCATCAGGGAAATGCAATCAAAACACATGCGATACACTTAACCCAGTGGAGCATGGCTTTATCAAAACACTCCAAACAAAAATGCCTGCGTGGTTCACCGGAGAGAGGGAACACCCTCCTACCACTGCTGTGGACTCGCAACTAGTTCACTCTTGGAAAGCAATATGGAGGATACCTCTAAAGCGATACAAGTGAATCTACCATTTGATCAGCAATCACTTGCTGGGCATCTCAAATGTCCAGTGGACTCTACACCAAAAGACACTGCACTCGAAGTTATAGCAGGCCAATCTCATCAATTTCAAGACTGGGAACACAGCCAAGCTGCCGCATCAACCAGAAATGATTAATAAAATGGGTATAATGTATACCCATCGGAGTACATTTCCAGCTCTAAGACACAACGGTGATTACTAGCACATCTTCATATTTTCTCTGGCTTACCGAGCTGGACCATACTACCAAGTGAACGTAGCCAAGCAATGCGACAAACACAAGCACCAGATATATCTCCCAGCAACACTGGTTGATTAACTGAATTAGCACCTAAGTGACAGCATAGGTGCTAACATATAGGTATTGCAGGCTGGGAGAGGGAGGAATCGCGGGTATATACATACAACATGATAGAATTGCAACCTCTGGGGAGTGGTCATGATGGAGACTCAGACTTTGAGGGAGGGGGGAAATGGCATTCTATTGAAACCTAAAATCTGTACCCCATACATATGCCAAAATACAACGAAAATTAAAAAAAAAACAAAGCCATTATGCCAAAAAAAAAAAAGAAGTGATACAACTTAATATACGCCCCAAATTCAGTTATAACCCATTCTAAAGCAAACTTACTGGGTCCTACAGCGAAACGATTAATACACCTCCACTAACACGCCAGAGACTTCACCCACCACAGATCCAAGAAAGACCCTCCAAACAGAAATAATAAAGAAAATACTAAACAAAACCCGGAAAATTGGCCGACGACACTCACAGGCGACAGCCTTCTACCCAGAAGCCCACTGAATACACATTCTCTCACAGCTCACGGACATCTATAAGATTGATCATATCCTAGGACACAAACGAAACTCAAGAAATTTAAAAATGAAAATCAAACCATTGTACCCTTCTCATATCACCAGGCAATAAAGCAGAAACAACCCCTCCAACCAAAATTCACATTCTACCAAAAACGTCGAACAAAACACAACACACAACAAACACAGATAATACATCAAAAGACAAACGCACACAAAAATTCATACTGAACCGAAAACCGACAATGGAGAGACAAGTTATCAAATCATCTGGGACACAGCTAAAGCAGTTCTGAGAGAAAAGTTTATCTCCATAAATGCCTATAACAAAAAGACAAAAAGATGACAAATAGCCAATCTAATGAAACGACTCAAAGAGCTGGAAAAAGAAGAACAGACCAACCACAAACCCAGCAGAAGAAGTGAAGTCAACAAGATCAAATCAGAACTAAACGAAATTGAAAACAGGGAAGCTATTGAGGAGATTAGTAAAACAAAAAGGTGGTTCCTTGAAAAAATAAACAAAATTGACACACCACTGGCTAAGCTAATGAAAAGCAGAAGAGAGAAATCTCTAATAAGCTCCATCGGGCATAAAAAAGGTGATATCACAACTGATCTCAAAGAGATACAAGATACAATTTATGAGTACTACAAAAATCTTTTTTACACAAACTGGAAAATGTGGAGGAAATGGACAAATTTCTAGAAACACACAGCCTCCCTAGGCTCAATCAGGAAGAAATAGATTCCCTGAACAGACCAATCTCAACAGCTGAAATGGAAACAGCAATTAAAAATCTCCCTAAAAAGAAAAGTCCCGGTTCAGATGGTTTCATTCCCGAATTTTACCAAACTCACAAAGAAGTACTAGTACCTATCTTGCAGAAAGTATTCCACAACTTTGAGAAGAACTGAAACCTCCCTGACACCTTTTATGAAGTGAATATTTCTCTGATACCAAAACCAGGAAAGGATGCAACAAAAAAAGAAAACTACAGACCAATATCCCTAATGAATATAGATGCAAAAATTTTCAACAAAATCTTAGCTAACCGAATCCAGACACTTATCAAAAAAATGATCTACCACGAACAAGTGGGCTTCATCCCAGGGATGCAGGGATGATTCAACATACATAAATCTATAAATGCAATTCACCACATAAACAGAAGCAAAACAAAGACCACATGATTCTTTCAATAAATGCAGAAAAATCTTTTGACAAAATTCAACAGCCTTTCATTATATGAACACTTATGAAAATAGGCATAGAAGGGACATATCTAAAAATGATACAAGCCATATATGACAGACCCATAGCCAACATCATACTGAATGGGGAAAGATTGAAATCATTCCAACCTAGAACTGCAACCACACAAGGCTGCCCACTATCTCCACTTCTGTTCAACATAGTGCTGGATGTCTTCGCTACTGCAATAAGACAAGAAAATGGAATTAAAGGTATCCAAATATGGGCCGAAGAGATCCAACTTTCACTGTTTGCTGATCATATGATATTATATCTAGAAAACTCCAAAGATTCAACCAAGAAACTCTTGGAATGGATCAATTAAGTAAGTAAAGTCTCAGGATACAAAATCAATACACAGAAATCAGAGGCATTCATATACGCCAACAACAATCAAATTGAGAACCAAATCAAAGACTCAATTCCCTTCACAATAGCAAGAAAGAAATAAGTACCTAGGAAATACTAACCAAGAGTAAGAAGACCTTACAGGGAGAAACTGATGAAAAACTGAGATAGGAAATAGCGAGACGTAAACAGATGAAAATCATGCCATGCTCATGGATCGGCAGACTCAACATCATCAAAATGTTCGTAACTACCCAAACTGATCTAACGATTCAATCAATACCTATTAAAATCCCATCAGCATTCTCCACAGATACAGAAAAAATAATTCCATGCTTCGTGTGAACCAAAGAAGACCTGAATAACAAAAGGTAATTCCAGCACAGAAAACAAAATGGGAGCATTAATATGCCAAGATATCAAATTATACTACAAAGCTGCTAGTATAAATCAATCTGTATTGGCACAAAAAAGAAATAATGAGCAGTGGAACAATGGAGAATCCTGTATAAAACGATTCTTCATATAGCCATTGTAATCTTTGGCAAAGCAGACAAAACATACCCTGGGAAAGAACCCGTTTTCAGGTAAGAGCCAGAAAAAACTGATAGCCACTGTAGAAGCTAAAACAGGCCCACACCTTCACTCTCACAAAAAAAAATAAACTCACGCTGGGATAACAGGCTTAAACCTAATGTATGAAACTAGTAAGAATCCTAGAGCAAAAAGTCTGAAACACTCTCCTAGACATCGCCTAGGCAATTTATGAAGAATCCCCAAGCAATCACACAGCAACCAAAAATTTAAATAAATGGGCCAGATCAACTACAAAGCTTCTGCACAGCCAAAGAAATAGTCATGAAAGTCAAACAGACAAGCCTACAGAATGGGAAAATTTTGCATCTCGTATCAGCGATAAAGGGCTGATTAACTAGGAATATACTTAGAACTCACGAAAATCAGCAAGAAAAAAGCAATAACCTATTAAAAAGGGGCAAAGGACTTGACCAGAAACTTTCTAAAGAAGACAGAAGAATGCAACAAACATTAGAAAAAATGCTCAACATCCTTAATCATCAGGGAAATGCAAATCAAAACCACAATGAGATATCAGATTAACTCAGTGAGAATTGGCTTTTATCACAAAGTCTCCAATACAATAAAGCCGTGCGTGGATGTGGAGAGAGAGAACACTCCTACACTGCTGGTGACTGCAAACTAGTTCAACCTCTGTGGAAAGCAATATGAGAATACCTTAAAGCGTGATACAAGTGAAGCTACCATTTGACAGCAATCTCATTGCTGGGAATGTACCCAAAAGATCAAATGACACTCTACAAAAAGCACCTGCACCTTGAATGTTTTATAGTAGCACAATTCATAATTGCAAGGCTGTGAAACAAGCCCGTAGTGCCGTGCAACCCAAGGAAGATGATTAATAAATGG